AAGTGCTTTGGAGCTGTCTGGGATTCAGGCTTTGGGGCTGGCCCTAATTTAGAGAACTACCCTGCGCAACCCTAACCTAACCCTAAACCCTAATCCCTAATCCCTAAACCCTAATCCCTAATCCCTTAACCCCAAGCCCCAAACCGCAAAAAGGGGCACCTGAAGACTCCACAACTCCACGACGTAGGGGATGAAGGCGACGATCGCTTCACTGACTTCGAGCCTTGTCTCGGTTTAGGCTTTAGAGTTTAGGGTTTAGGGTTTAGGTTCCTAAACCCTAAACCCTAATACAGGCGCCTTAAAAATTAGAATAGGGTTTTGGGTGCACATTGTCCTGTAATTCTAATAAGGAACTCGGAAAATAGTATATATTGGTAATGCTTTAGGCCCCAAACCCTAAACCCTCCTTTCTATGGCTGCGAGTCCTGAGATTCATTGAAAGGTTCCTTTAAGGTTCCTGTAAGGGGTCCTTTACAGGTTCTTGAAGGGTTCCTTTAAGGAGTTCCTTTATTGGTTCCTTTAAGGGCTCCTGTAAGCTCCTGTAAAGGCTCCTGTAAGGGCTCCTTAAAGGGATCAAAAGGGTGATCTGTGGTGTTCTATAAGGGTTTCGGGTTTCAGGCTTCAGAGAGTTTAGGGTTTGGGGGCAGAGGCTCTAGGGCTCTTAGGGTTTAGGGTTTAGGGTTTAGGGTATAGGATTTATGGGCTTAGGGTTTAGGAGGGGTTTCGGGTTTAGGGTTTAGGGGTTTAGGGCCTAGGGTTTAGAGAGTAGGGTGTACAGGACAAAAGCCCTAACCCAAAGCTCCAAAGTCTAAACCTTAAACACTAACCATAAACCCTAAACCGGACATTACAGCAAGCCGACAAGCGAAAGTGGCAAGAACGGCAGGTTCGGTATGGCTTGGTGCTGCAGCGGTCGAAAAATTCTAGTTCTAGGGGCCACCAGTCAGGCTTACCTTTACAAACTCGAGCAGTGACCCCTTCTGGTGACCCGGTTGGGCCCCCGGTCTGCATTTGTCGAAAAATCCCTGCGCGCATCCGGCAAAGGCCCCCCATTCCTCCTTGGTTTCTGGCTAATCAAATCGGCTGGGATGCAACCCCAATGGCGAACTCGCCAGAGTCGTGTTTTCACCAGCAGCTTCGATGACAAAGAGGAGAGAGAGAGAGAGACAGAGAGACAGAGAGAGCGGCTCCTTCACTCCCTACGAAGGGCAAGCACAAAATCTAAACCCAATTTCGCTCCAAGTTTGAACAATCCTAACCCCTAGATCCACACAAACCCTAAAACCTAAACCCAAACCCGCAAACCCTAACTTGTAGACCTCTGGACCAGCCAATAAAGACTAAGCACCTCTTCCTAGAACGTGGAAGACAACCCTAAACCCTGAAACGCCCCTAAACCCTACAGTAAGCCCCCAAAAGTTGGAAACCGGATTAGGGACAAATAGTGCTCGGATTCCCTATGCATTACTCTTCAGGATTGAGGCTATTGAGTTTCCAACTTTTGGGCTTCTACTATAAGCCCTAGACCCTCCTAAACCCTAGACCCCGCACCCCAAACCCCAAACCCTAAACCCTAAACCCTAGACCCCAAACCACCCCGATCCGCGGCAGACCAAAAGTTCGGGGTTTCGGGCTCAGAGCTAAGTGGATCTGAAGCACTTGACGATGTCCCCTTATACTCCCTACTAGGGTTTAGGGTCAGAATTTAGGGGTTTTGGAGTTTAGGGTTTATACATGATATACACAAGCAAATCCTCCGAAAAACTCATCCCACCAGCTTTGATTCAGCCTTATGGTCAGAGTTTAGGGCCCTCGAATAGGGCTTAGGGTTTAGGGTTTAGGGTGAAGTTGCAGCTCCTCACTCCGCAACGTCATCCTCAGCCCGACTTTGCCGCGACCCAAACCCCCTAGTCACAGCAGACCTCTATCCATAACATTATTCCGGCTATGGTTTTGGCTAATGTCTTGTTTAAGAGTGTTTAATTCTGCCTCATTTTAGTTGAGCGCTATTCTGCTCTGGCTTTAAGGACGGTGCCAGATCTTGGTATTTGCAGTATTGCTCCTGCAGGAGCTGACCAGCAGAAGCTTGCGAGGAAGCACCTCGCACCGAGGCTGCCCAGTTGATGCTTCGGGTATCTGCACGGCCCTGTATGACATCAACAGTTGGAATAGGTTCTTGGTGTATATTGAAGTATGTTTGGGAAAAGCGGACCCCTGAGGAATAATGTCGCTAATTATTTCGGCTTCCATATGACCCCGAAGGAGCCAGCCGCTAGAAGCCCTACATTGTACACACGACATCTAAACCCTAAAACTGCCCGAAAGAGTAAGGGAACAAAAACAAAACCCTAAACCCCGAAACCCCAAACCTTAAAACTCCAAAAATCCAAAACCCTAAAACCCTAAAAGCCCCAAAAAAATCAAACATTAAAACCCTGCAGCCCCTAGTGAAGATCAACCCATGACCTGCCCTCTAAGATCTCAGTTGCCCTACGCCCGATAAGCGTCGCACCTCAGGATCCAATAGGGGCCTTCAATAAGGGCTTAAGGTTTAAGGGTTTGGGGGTTTAAGGGTTTAGGGATTTAGGGTTTCGGGTTTAGGGATTTAGGGTTTAGAGGTTTAGAGGTTTAGGGTATAGGGGTTTAGTGGTTTAGGGTTTAGGGTCTAGGGTTTAGAATTCGGGGATCTACACTTGGGCGCTGTAATGTAAGACCTTTCCTGGGTACAGTTTGGGGGCTAGGGTGTGGGGTGTAGGTGTGTTTAGGGAACAACGAATGATTGAAAGTTTGAACATGGATATGTATATATATATATGTATGTAGATATAGATATAGAACTAGATATAGGCACAGGCATAGACATAGACAATGCATGCATGCATGCATCCATCCATCCATCCATGCATGCATGCATGCGTACACACATACATACATACATGCATGCATACATGCATACATACATACATACGTACGTACATACGTACATACATACATATAACACATACATTGACATGCGCAGCTGTTCATAGACGTCCTCCGGCCGGTATCCGTCCGTAGATTTCTGCTGGTCTTGGCCTCAATGGTCAAGGAGGTTGGTGGAGGTTCTGACACAAGCAAGCGAGATATTGATAATCTTGAATACAATATGCTGCTGCGGCTGCTCCTGCTACTGCTGCTGCTACTGCTGCTGCAACAGCCACAGCTTCTGCTGCTGCTGCTGCTGCCACCGCCACTGCCGCTGCTACTCGGGCTACAACAACAACAACAACAAAAGCAACAACACATACGAACTACTAAGTACTAGTATGATGACGAAGACGACTACTGCTTTGTACCTACTACTCCGCTATTCTTTCCTAGTACCTACCTAGTTATTACTACTTACTACCTGTCTACATAATCTTACTGAACCTGCTCTTTCTTACTACTTACTACTACTCCCTACCACTGATTACTCTTTACTGCAACTGGCCACTGCTTTGCCTACTGATATTCCTATGACGACGACTACTGCTACTACTAGAACTACTATCATCAGCGTCGACGACGCTTGCAGGAATGACGTATATCACTATATCTTGGAAAGAGAAGATGACGACATGTTGAAGTTTCGTGGGGTTAGAGAATGGTTTCTGAAATCGAATCCCGACTCTCAGGAAGATTCAACCATGAGGCGCTGATGCACTTGAACTGTTTCGGCCATTCGGGCGTAGGGGCCGGAGGGGTTTATGTGCTGGTTTCGTCAGAGAGGTGAAGCACAAGAAGAAAAGCAGATTGCTTGACTGCTGTCCTCCTGAAGAGTATTGATCGGCAGGAGTCGTACTACCGGTTCCGGATGAGAAGACTGACAAGAGCAAAGTGCACTGAATTCGACTCTGCGAAACGCGCAGCACAAGCCAATGAAGCTTGCTGACAGACCGTCCGCCTTGCATGCCTCAGCCTGACGGAGGAGGATAGATACAAACGAAGCTCGCTTGGAAAGTTCTCGCCTCGAAGCCTTCAGGCTCTGCTTGCGGAACGGCCTGAAACTTTCTCGACCGAGCGGCTTGTTATGCCAACCCCGCAGCCCAGCAGTTGCCAGCAGGACTCGGCGGAATGTAAGATGCTGGGCAGCATTCAGTCTGCTATTGCAAGCTGTGGCTTCTGCTTATTGCTGGGAGTTGCAGGGGACACAGCTCGGATTTGGATTGAAGGGTTCTGACCACACACAATCTCTGCAAACCGCTAGCTTTCTAGCTTTGCTTGGCATCCAATGAGTCGCGGGGAGCTCTCACCTTCCTAAGCCCTGCCAAAAGCCTGAAGGTCCTCAGAGGCCGAGAGATTTCGCCTTTAGCGGTTTAATTAGCACGCAGGCATTTGCTCTTCTGGTCTCGGGTTGGGGCTTCACTGCGGCTGTCCCAGGAGAAGGGCTACGTCTAACCCCTGGCAGCCCAAATCCCATTGATCAATCCGAGTGAGCAGCCAGAATGTCACCGTCCCGCTCGAGTTCTTCCTGTCTTGTCAAACAAAGCTGCTGGTGTTCCTGCGGTACCATGACACAGTACGCACGAGAGGTTGAACGACCAGACAATTCGTCTCTTTGCAGAAAGGTCCCTGCTAGCGAACCATGGATCATTTCCACATGTAACAAGATTCAAAGCAACACGACAAGCAGGTTCTGCTGAACAACCGGAAGCATCGCGAAGAAGGTTCAAAACACCGTGTGGGTCCCTATCAGTCCCAGCAATCTAGTCCAGAAGAGCACAAGGCCACTGGCTGGAAGAACGCAGCATGAATTCACTTGTATTCATACGGGCGATGACTGTGTGTGGCTTCTGGAGTTGCATGAAGATAAGATCTCTGAAAGCTTGCCAAGGCCACCTGAGAAGCTCCCACGAGACCCTGCAGGTGAATGCCTCAATTCAGCAAGGCACCGCTGTGCACCCTGTGCACTAAGATATTGGAAAATTAAACGCCATGAACAAACCTGACAGTCTCGAATCCGCCGTTGAATCCGAAGTCTCAGGAACCACTAAGAGGCGCGAAGCCGTCAATCCACGAAACTGGGAGGCCTAAATTGGGCCGGCAAGCCTCCAGGCTGTTCGCACTCTGCTCAGCGCGCTCTTGCAGGAACTCGGCCTTCTTTGGGGCTGTCGGTGTCGAAGACGAGACTACTACCAGCGCCTTCTGCAAGGATTCACGCTTTAAGCTCAAACCGACCAAGGGGCTTCCAGAATCCCAAGCGACACGACCAACACTTTACCGTTGCTTTCGATGGCTTCGTATATTCGCATGTGTGCATCTGGCAAGACTGCGACAGCTCGGCGAGCTTTTGCTGCGGAACCAATTGGTGTACCGCGTTCTGTGCAAACCTTTCTTCGGACTGCCTTAAGCCTTAACCGGGAAATCAGAGCCAGAGCGAATCCGAGACGAAAGGCAAGCCAAGCAGAGTTTGTCAAGCAACCTGTCCCAAGAACTTGTCGAACCTGACCTTCACATGACCAGCTGTAAGCTGCCTAATGCTCTTGCCCGGAATGTGCCTGTACATTAAACTCTGGTTGACTCTGGCTGTGCTTGCACCCCGATTGGCAAAAAAGGCTAAGCTGAAACGATGTCTAGGTTCTCTCATTTTGCAATATTGAAGCTCTGACCCGCAACTTTGAGTTCTATCCTTCCCTGCCAGCTACCCATTCTGCTCAGTCATCGTATCCGTGTGTGCGTTCCCTATAGTGTGCTTACAGGATATCTGTCATGCGTGACTTGCTAGGCATCCTGGCTGTCTGGGGCATCCAAGTGACGGCTAGGGGAGGGTCTGCGCTCAGCCACTGCCATTGCTGTCCAAGCAGCCAGCTTCTCGGAAATTGCCGCATCGTGGGCAGCATGCCTCTGGAGCCTCGCTAAAAAGGGTCAGAGGAGAAAAGCCGTGGCATCAACCGGAGCCTTGAGCTACGAGACGCAACGAAAGGCAAGCCAGCTGGAGAAGGGGGAACCACCAAAGTCACACAAGTCCACAGATCTCACTAGCCTGCCATGCTAAGTTTGAGCTTCGAGTGAAACTACGGATGAACACGCTCGTCGTCTGGGTCGATATCCAATGCAGTGGCCGAGTTTGGATGTCTGCTGAGCTTTGTGGAAAGGAAAGAACTTGTGGCAACCCGTACCTCTGGATGTTCTTGAAACCAAGCTGCAACGATAAAGGCAACACTCCCACAAAATGAAGGCCACTCCATCTCAAGAAACTGATTGATCTTTGCTTCTGAATCCCTGCGCATTGCATCGTACTTTTCCCACTCTTGATCTGGAGACCCGTTTGTCCTTTGCGAATTTCTGCATGCTTTGTCTCTTGCAGCAAAGCAACGGAGATGTCCATACGAAAGCTGCCGGATGCGCAAATCGGGGGCTCAGAAATCTCCCTTTGCCTGGCCGTCCCATCGAGGCTCACACCAGAAGTTGAAACAGTTTGTTGGGCAGCCTTTGTCAAAGGAGTTTGTCTCTGGCGAGTAGACGAATTCTCCGTTGTCCAATAGCTCGTTGTACTCGTCCGAGTCTGACAAGCTCTCCACGTGGATGTTGTCCCCCTTTGAGGTGTCGTGTGCCACGAAATGTTTGTTCTGCTTCCATTCCTGCGCTGTCTCGTTCCTCGAGACAAGCCCCACGTGGATGATGAAGATTTCCCCTTCGAAGAACAACAAAATCAAGGAATATATCCAATGCAACACAAGGATGATACCCGTCACGATCTGGAACTCGGGCCTTTTGTAGGCCAAGACAGCAAGGGCAGGGTCCATGATGACTCCCAGAACCGCAATCAGTGTCAAGCCAATCAGCATCGCCATGAACTCGCGGTGATTCATCAGGCCAACGACGTTCTGGAGCCACCTGCAGTAGTGGTCGTAGCGTCGAATGGGCTCCGGGTACAACCAGGACTTGTGGGTACGCTTTGGGAGCTCGCCGTCCTCAATGGTTATCTGACCAGGGTCAGCCCTGGCCACCCACAGCATGCAAAGCAAGGTGGGGCCATAGATAGCGAGGGCAATCGCAACGAAAACGCTCCGTGGCCATGCGGTCAGCTCGGTCAACATTGGAACTTGCACCAGGGTCACTGTCACTCCGCCCAAAATCGTCGAGACACTCAGCGCCAAGGGCAACAGAGGCTTCCAGCACTCAGACTCTGTGGGTCCCTTGTTCTCGTCCCCGAACTTGTCCTCGTCACAGGCTTCTTCAGGATCATGACATGCTTCTTTGTCTGCCGACTTCTTGTCGCCTGGGCCTGACACCAGGGGACCTTTGGGCATCATCTGCTGCACAACTCGGTTCTGGATTCCGACAAAGCTTCGCACGGTCTGGTAGTGCTGCACCAAATTGGGATCAGCAGGACCATACGCATCGAGACGAGAGCGGCCCTGAGGCAGCATGGCGTCGAACGCGATGCACGGGCGGGATACCAAGAAGCTTGAGGAAAGGCTTTTGGATTGGCATCCTGTTGTCTGGCTAAGCCGAGCTGTTGGTATCAGCCTTTTCCCCAAATGGTGTGGAAGAGCGGCTACTTACGGGACGGTAACTACCTAGGTGTGCTGTCCGACTGTAGTGCGGTGCACATCTTCGACCTAAACCGCATTCTCGTCACAGTCCCGCACCGGCCGCATTCAGTTCAGAGTAAATTCCACTACTTGGGCCCTCTCATAATTATTCTGCAGATCACGCTCCCACCGAAACCTCTTGCTCGCTTTGGCCTTCAACACGCTCGAAATCGTTATAGTCGTAGCCGCGTAGCAGAGTCACAGTATTCGGCTCCTCAGGTTTGAAATCTCAACATAAGGGGTCTTGAAACTATCCGATGCTGGTGCTGGCGGCACATCGCTGCACATATTTTGGGGTGCGACTCTGCTTCCCGCCAAGTCCCGCGAGCATTGCGACTCCAACTCGTGTTCCCTTCACAATCCCGTGCGTTTCGATGAAGCTTTTCAGCTGCTTTGCTCTGAGCCCGGTTGGAAAATCAAGGATCTTCCGCCAGGTGTTGACCCGGGTTTGTGGCCTTCGGGCCTAAGAACCACAAGATCAAATCAGAGAGCTGTGATTGACAAATCTTCGAAACCTCAGGCCATGCAAGTCTCGCTGCAATGGTCTTCTGACATAGCTATGTATTAGGCTTAGCGACAGGCTCGGTGGAGGGAGAGAATGGGTTGTCACAAGAAAGGACCAGGTCTTTCAATAAGCCCTCGCTAAGCACTGGAGTTTTCATGAACAAGCGTGGTGCCCAGAAAGACTGTGCCCTACTGCCCTACTTCAACAGGCCAAGGAATCGCGGCTGCCAGTCTTCTACGAGAATAAGGTGCTACAGCTGCTACGGCAAGCCTGCAAACTGACCCTCCGACCGGGGACCCCTACTCGGAAGTCACGGAAAGCAGCCTGAAACTCTCCGATGCTCCGAGACTTCAGGCCCTGCATCCAATACGAATTCAGCCGAAGTTCCGTGTTTTGTTCAGTGCTGGATTGCGTTAGATACCACTGGTCATTTGCACTTCGGGGGAGAATCCCTTCTACTTCAGATGCCGTCAGGCCGCAGGGAGATGTCAACCTCGCAGCTGGCAAGGAGGTCCCGCACATCAATTTGGCCGCACCTGAGCGCAGGGTTTTGCCGGCTTCGGGCGCTCAGCACAACTTCGCGAGGGAAGGCAGCAATGCAGTGAAGAGCATGGGTCTTGAATGGGAATTGCTGTGGTTCGTGAGCAGGCACTGTCCACTGCTGGTTTCCAACTGCTGTGCTGGAAGCAAGGCAGCAGTGAATGCTTGAGGGTCTGAGGCTGCGACGCCGGCAAATGTGCAGAACTTGCAGCATTCGTCATGCGGCACATATGATCACAATATCAAAGTTTTCGGCGAGCACTTCTTCATCTGGCGGTAATTCTGCGGCTGCAGAATAGTCGCAGCTTGCCATAAAACTAGTGTTGGTGCTGTGCGTCCTCACTGAACCCGGTTGACGTCCCCTGGTTTGTTGTAACAACTGGGCAACACGGCCGCACGTAGCTGCAGACGGACGTGCGGTGACTACAGTAATGTCTAGCCGAGGGCTGCTGCACGGCTCCAAGTTGCTTGCGTCTTTCTAGATCTAGACTAGACTTTCGTGCAAATTGGCTCAAAGCCTTGAACCGTCAGCAACAGCAAGTCGAACCGCCCGGGTCGCATGTGAGGTCCGTTTTTTGTAAGCAGCAAGATTCCATGGGTTGCAGTAAGCAAGTTCCACATGGAGAGTACTCCAGCTCTGCAGAGGGCAAGTTGCAGGCGGGGGAGGGGGGAGCTCATTGGTTGAGTTTTTCCTAGGAGTTCGGAGAACGACTTTCGTGACCGCTGCTTTTCTCCAACTGTGCTCCACGATGGGACGCTGGAGCATTGTCCCGCTCCCTGCCGGTCCGAGGCCAAGGGTGGTTGCGGGCTTGAGAGGGTATCCTGAAATCCGGAGTCTGAGGGCGGATATCACATTTTTGACTTCGTCTCCGATCTCACGAAGACGAACCTCTCCTGCAACTATGTTGACAGAGCTCTCAGCTGTTTCAGCTCAGGAAATTAGCGAGCACTGCAATCACTGCAGCCAGCGATGCAGACCGAAAGGCCATACCTTGGGCCACGAACTCAGCTTGTCAGTGGATGGAGAATTCATTGATTTGCTTTTGGCATTTTGATATTTATCCGTTCTGGGGTGTAGGGTCTAAGGAGGTTAAGGTCTACATGGGTTAGGGCTTAGGATTTTCCAAGAGCGGGCACACCTCGACCTTAAAGATCGTGGCGGCACGCCTGGCGTTCAGCGATCCGCCCACCCACTGATCACCCACATCTCAACCTTAACTTATCGGGTTCGGGCTTTTACAAACATTTTGTAGTTCGCGGGGTTCTTCCTGCTGCGATTTGGGCTGTTGGTTCGTGCAGTAGGGATGCACCGCGGGCAAATGCCGCGGTATCGCTCGCCGCTGGCATGCACAACGACCCCGGCTCGCTCCAGTTTTTGGGTTCAGGGTTAAAGGGTTAGAGTTTGCGGGTTTTCGGGGTTTAGGCTAGCCAAGAAACCAAAACTCGAGCAGCCAAAAGCCAGGAAGCCGAATGCGCCCGGAGCCCGAAGTCAATTTGGCAGAAGCCAAGAAGCAGAGCAAAGATAACATTCCAAACTTAGACAACAAAGATCCAAACAGAAAAAGCGGCGATGTCAATCTGTTCGGAGGTACATAGGGGTTCAGTTCTTGAGGCTTCAGGTTGAGAAGGAAGCCCTCTCCACTCCATGCACAGAGCTTGAGGGTTCGTCAGGCAGCCCACAGCCCTTGGCACCCTGAGGCCCTCAGGCCCAGCTTGCAAATCAAAACGAAACCGCAGAGTCCCACAAACGCCAGAGCCACATGTTCTTCAACACAAGCCGCACAGATGCCTGGGCCTTCTGGGGCAAAGGGGCTTGAGTTCTTGGCAGCACAGCTTTAGGGAAGGCTGCGTGTATCACTTTCTCAAGATACCGACTTTAGCGCCACGTAAGTTCCACTCTCCGAGGCACAAAAGAGCTTCACAACGCAAAACAAATGCTTTGCCTCTCGTCTTTGCGTTTCGCGACATGCCAGATGCTTCTTGGCCACTGTGTGCTGGCGCCTGCTTGTGCTGCGCCTCCGGCGTAACAAGTCTTGATCGGGCACTGATCGGGAGTTCTTAGTTTTGAGCATGCGGCGATCGAGTACGACCACAGCCTTACGATTTTGTGTTGCGCTTTGAACTTTAGTAGCCGCAAACCATAGCCCCAATCCCGAAGTGCCCAAGGACCTCCAAGCTGTTGGGCTCCTGTTCTTCAGATACAACATCCCAAGCGATGAAAACAACAACCCTATAGACTATACGCCTGGTCCGGCCCTAGACACCACATGGCTCCAAACACCGTGCAATGTAGCCCTCCACCTTTGCCCTGAAGGCCAAAAGCAGCAAGTTCTCATAAGAGTGCTGGCACGCTACTGCAGGCGACTATGCTTTAGTTAGAGTATACCTTGCCTATTTAGGCTATTGGCACCACACATAGACCCCACCACACACCAAAATCCAATTTTCCACTCATTTTTCCCAACCACTTTCTCCAACAGCATACCACTTCATCCCCCACATCCCCGAATCACCAAATATTTTCTCAACGAGCATACCATCAATTTTCCACCGCTTTTTCCAACTTTTCAGACCTCGTTTTCTCATTTTCAACCAGCCAACCACTTGCCCCCAAGCGTCCAAATTTTCAGCGTCCCAATTTTCAACGAGCACACCAACAGCCCTCACCCCAAAAAATCGCACCATTTTCCCCTCAAAAACTCAACAGATTTTGCCACCTTCTTCACCAGCCCTTCAAGAACTGCACCCCAAAAGCCCTGTTCCACGACATTTTGCATCAAAACCAGCCCACTTGCCCCCCAACAACAACCATTGATCCACAGCCTGATCTCACCACCCGAAAATAGGCAAAGTCCACCTCGTAGAAAAATGCCACCAACCTAAATATCTATCCTAAGAAAACTATTTTTTCCCCAATACTTACTACTATCCAGGTGCCAATAGTCAAAATAGGCAAGAGGGGTCTTACAGAATTTGGTTCAGGGTTTAGAGTTAAGGGTAAAGCATTCGCTTTATCTTCTCGGATTCTCCGATCATGTTGTAACTACACTGTAATTATAATATATAACTGCTTATGTATTATAATTACATTATAACTATGTTGGTGAGGAGACTATCTACTTTGAATTTTGAACTATCATCTCATCTAAGAACTCTGATGTTGCTTGTAAATATTCATAATGTAATTGTTTGTCTATTTTTACACGATATTGTAAATAATATATGATCTGAATAAAAATATGATGAACTCTTTGATAATAATAAAAATAACCACATAAAATATCTTTGTAATAATTCATTTTCTCCTGATGCCATTCATAGAAGTCAAATGTATCTAGGTTCTCATACATTGTTTTCATTTCAATATGTAACTCAAGTGTATAATCATTCTTTTGAACATCATCTCGCATTATTTCATGAACTTCATCATATTCTGGGTATCTGTTTAACTTAGTAAAGGGTAATATATAATCATCAAACAAATTTCTTAACTTACAACATTTATCACAACCATAGTAATCTACGATCTGATTTTTAAAGCTATGTAAGACATCGCACTTGCCTAGCAATATTTTCTGTATGTTCTTAACTGGGTTACATTTATCACATCTATTGAAATAATAAATTTGTGTACCTGATTATACAAAATATGTTTCATCATATTCACTCTCACTTTCATATTCACTCTCACTTTCATATTCGCTCTCACTCATTACCACGATAATATATAAGTTGTTATTTCTTTAAATCATTTTCCTCAGAAATAATATTTCTTAAGATTTACTGCATCGCGGTTTATTTGACAGATTTATCCAAGCATTCAGAACACGTCGCAATATATTTAACATACCAAGAATGCTTACCAGCATAATAGCAACGCTTAAAGCACTCAATGTGTTTGACTTGCTTACAACGATAACACTTCCTAGTAACAACATTTTGTGTTTCAGTATATGGTTCAAAATCAACTAATATCTTATTTACTTTTATTGTCATTATATTAATAATATACACATTTTCATAATGCGAGATTATGAAAAATGCTGAAGTTTGCATTCCCTAAGATTTAATGAAACTAATTACGAATTAATATCATTTCCACACTCTTATGGTGTGCTTATGAAGCTGTTCATCACACGGGAGCAATGGGACCTTCTAGATGTCTGGGCAGGGGAAACTTTACACTGTCAAATTACCATAGAAATTATTTATTTATATACTAACCCATAATATTTAAGTTATTCTTCAAAATAGTTATATCTTTATCTATCCTTTCAACATCCTCCTCCACTTTTTCTAGTCTCTCTTCTGGCGTAGGCTTTCGTGATCCCCACCCGGTGGTAACTGTATCAACACCTTCATTATCTTGTGAGTTTGTTTTAAAGATGTCGTTTTCATCGGGGGTTATTCCTCTTCCCATCTTCCAACTACTCCTATCTTCAACTAATGTTCCATCACCATCATCATCATCTTCATCATCATCCTTTTTAAGTTTTACCTCGTTGTTTATCTTAGTTTCTTTGTGAAAAATTTTTCTTCTGCATTTGCAGGGCAAACAGTTTAACCCATCCGTGTTCAAGTGGAAGCCACCTTCGTTAGGTTCCCTATGATTGTCGCTCATTAACCTTTCTTAGATTTTTTTAAATACTCAAGAACTGCCTTACGCATTTCTAAAGAAGCGGTGCAACACCTTTTAAGCTTGGTGTCTTGTATTACAATCTTCTCAATTTCTTCAATCTCCTCTATCGTTTCCAAATACCTATCCATTATATTAAAAGATATTTTCTCTTATTAGTTAATGAGTGAAGAAATACCTAAAGTAGAACCGATAGACATACCCGAATATAAATATAAAAACAGCAAGTTTGACATGATGCCGAAGCTACCCGCGCGGATGTTGTGCGTGGCTTCTTCAACAGGTGGTAAAACCGTATTGACACAGAACTTAATATTAAAAATTTACAGAGGATCCTTTGAGAGAATATACATCTTCTCA